CCACAATTTGCACATTTAACACTTATTTGGCGAATAACTAAGAGTTAATTGCTTTGTTCTAAGCCACTGCTGGTCTATACGTTGACAGTGATGAATTAATTGATAATGAAGACAATAAGAAAAACTGGTATTTCAAACCAATATTGTTTTTTGGGTCTGCCACAATTTACAAATTTACCATTTAGTTGGCGAACACGTAAGAGTTAATTGTCTTGTTTTAAGGTACTTTTGGCCTATACGTTGACTGTGATCGACTAATTGATAATGAAGACAATAAGATTTATAATTATAATTGGCATACCAAAGAAAAGTTTTTTTTGTAGGGAAGCCACAATTTGAATATTTATTTGGCAAACACTTTATTGTTTTGCTGGTCTATATGTCGACCGCGATCAATTATTTGATTAAATTGATTACGAAAACGATAAGATTTACAATAAAAATGGTCTATCATGATTTAAATATTTATTTGGTGATACCAAAGAGTTTATTGTTCGGTTCTAAAGCACAGATGGCTTATATGTCAACTGAGATCTACTAATTAACAATGAGGATAATAAAAATTGAGAGCAAATCTTTAACTTACTTTTTATTAATATTTGTTATATTTAGATCTCTACTTAGATCAACAAGTTAGTAATATTTGTATTTAAAATGAGAAATATGAAGCACATTCCTTTCTTGATTGATTTGATGCCCATTTTTATAATTTATTTTAAATAAAAATGTTTAATATTGATTTCAATTCATCAAATTCTTCACCATAAATTCAAATGGCAACATGAAGATTTTAACAGTTATTTTAATAGCAATTATTTCGAATTACCATAATTCCTTCCATAAAAAGAGACAATTTTGTCAACTTTTCTATATATGAATTTCAGCACAATGGATAATTCCTGATCAAAACAATTTAGGAGATAATTTTCTAATTTTTCTAGAAATCATAATTGAAAATTCTAGCAAAATCTACCCAATTTAAGCATAAGTTTCAGTAAAATGATGAATGGAATGAAAACTCAAAATTGTGAAAACATTTTTTAAATTATTTTTGTTTCAAGTGACACAGAAAGTTTAGAAAGAAACGTTTTTTCCATTTCAAAAACTAATTACGAGTAAAAAATTTAATAACTACTATTAACAGCAATATTTTAATTAATAAACAAAAAGGGCAAAAAAGCAACCTTTTTATCCTGAATTACTCTAGGCCATCTGGGGGAAATATTTAAGGTAATTTCTCAAAATGTTTACACCTTTTTGATATCAAGGCACAAAGCAAATAAATTATGACGGAAAAGTGGCACAAAAGCTTCCATAGTTAGAACGCATTTGTTACAAAGTGCAAAACTGTGGAACAAACGACATAGTTACAAGTGTATTCTTTTGAAACAATTGTACCCCCATATAGTTTCACTTTGCAGTTTCAGGGTTATGGCTGTTTGCTTGACTCACCTCAATTGTTATAAATTTTAATGCCACATTCTATTTTTTTCTCGAGCTAGTGGAGTGAATATAGAGCGTTTTATGATGGAGTACAGGGAGAACCACCCCATCGTTTCTTCCTTCTGGCATCTAATGAGCAGCAGGGTTTGAGGTGACAAGCAAGGGGAGTCCGTGTAGTAACTGGATCTAGTTGAACGAGCCATCTGCTCCTCTAAGAGGAGAGATCCTTTGTATCAAACGAATTGTTGGAAATCAGAGAGATCAGCCTTATCGACAATTATGAGCAAAAAGCTGTCCTTTCTTTCCTTTTTTTGGTACCTCCTGCCCTTTGCAAAGTTGGGCAAATGCAATTTATGTTCATTCATGATCAATGCACTGACAAATGTCACAAGTTGTATTTGTTTGATACCCAAAATAAAAAATGACAGCATGAAATAATTTGTTGATCAACAACCAATTCAGCGGAAAAGCAAGGTGGAAGCATGATTTCAAGGGGTTAGGTGGTTTATTGTTATATATTATATTGGTAGATTACGAATTGTTTGCGTATATAAATGGATTATTTGAGATTTTTCTAAGTTGAAGCAGGATTTAATAATTTTTATTCTAAAAATGTTTTAAACTTGGTGGCTGAAAATGATGGGATAAAAGAGAAGAGGATGCGATGAAAAATTAAGTAAACACACACTCTCTCTCTCTCTCTCTTTTAACAATTTCAGATTCCAATTATCAAATTTAAAAAGAAAAAAAAAACAGTTTAAGTTGTAGAGACTGTTGGATTCGAATCAAATGATGTTTTGCAATTCAATCACGTTTTCATGCGTCATACCGAGTCATAAATCATTCAAATGCTTACTGTTATACAAAAAATCTTTAAAAAAGCTAATTTTATTCCAGTTTTATTTTTCCATTAATTCTAACTGAGAGATGTCAAATTATTGTATACACAATTCTAGTTATGTTTTAGATATGCATGAGTATGTGCTTTGTTATGCTCATTATATATCAAGACTAAACTCAGTTAAAAAAATATTTAAAATAAAGTATATGCAATCTGAATGTTAAATATCTGTAACAGTTAGGAAAAAAAGAGCGATATACTTCGAAAACGAATCTAAAGGAACTTTACGGGGATGATGACAGGTTAAAAGGATATATAATTACTAGCTTGAATTTAATTTCCTGCGGCTATTATTTTATTCCCATTTATTAGTAAAAACACAAACTATTGTTTGCTTAAATTTTAAGAATAAATACAAACAAAAATAAAATCATATAACAAAATACAGAATTGATATTTAAGTTGCATTATACGATGGCACCATAAATTTATAAAAAATAGACAAGACTCATTTTTCAAATACACACGGATCCCCAAAAGCCCTCTTTCCCGTTATTTTGCTTGACTTTTTTCAATAACGCCATAATTAGTTTACAAAACAGTTTAATCAACTTAACAAGTAATGTCGTTTACGTTTAGCCCAGCTATTATATCGCTATTCAACTAACCTCGTATAAAAGACAATTTTCAGATGGTTCGAAATTATCTATGCTTGCAAGTATTGGTTTAAATGTAATAAACACTCAGTTTATTAATGTAATAAATATAGTTGTAAACACACCCTACGAGTGCTTCTATGGTGGAAACCACATTTGTCAGATTATATAATTGATTTTATTTTTAAAGTTAAAGCAATATGAAATATTTTAATAATTAGTAATTAAAAAAAAGTATCACTCAAATATTTTATTAAGCTGTATAAAGTATGCAATAAATATGTAACAATATTTCTCTTTAAATTTTATTTTTACATCAAAATTTCCAGTGATTGCTTTAGGCTTGAGTTTTTAAAAAAAATATACAGTTAATAAAGTGCTTTTAAAGTGCAAAATATATTTACTATTTAAAACATAAAGCTGCCATTTACCAACTGTTATTTAAAAAGGAGGAAAATGAAAAAAGTTTTTTTTATTTATTCAGATCCAGATTGCAAATGAACAGATTTTTTTCTATTAAGAAAAAAAAAAACTTTTACGAGTTTTACAACTAGGAAAACAACTATAATAACAGCCTATAAACAATCATTTCAATTGAATAAAACATTTTATCCTTCATCATTTTCCGGGGATTTTCAAATCACACCTTAAGAGTGGGATCGACAAGTGGCTATTGAAAACTCTCAAAAACCCTACGAGTGGTGGAAAATATCCTACTTCACCATTTGCCAGCTGACGAACTGTTTGCTACTCTCAAATAAAACCCTTGTCATAACCATGAGAGACTATCCAGTTTTCGATCGCAAACTGTTATATAAAATTTTTTTTATACCCTTCAAGTACCCTCGCTATAGAGGAAATCATTACGAATGATAGGGTGGCGAGAAATGGTGGGCTTATCTCTGCGGCGGATTAAAACAGCCACGTGGCATCGGAATTGGTCTTCGTCTACGCTCTTGATGGTTTGTACTGATAATGTCATCACTGAAGAAGCGGGCTTTTACTGAACGACCCCCTTCAACTGAGGCTTCTCAACCATATTAATAAGGGTGATAGTTCCCGAGATACCCAAATTCTCATATAACTATAAAACCCTGCACCAACAATAGACGCATGAGTGGCCACCTCCTCCTCCTCTCCATATATATATCTATATATCTATCTATATATATATTTAAAATAGTACCAAAGGCAAACACTATTAACAATTG